GCCAGTTAACTGTAAACATATTTATTAACGTTTTCTTTTTATGTAAATAAGGTTTTTTTTTATTTTGCTCTATTATTTCTGATCACTTTATCGTTTTTTTTAGTCGAGGTTTTACTTTAGAAGAGGCCCTAAATATGGTTTATGAGGACGACTTGGATGTTCGAGAGATTTTCATGGAGCCTCCAGACGCCAATGTTCTTACGGACGAGGACTCGGCCGATGAAGACGAAGGAGGTTTGATCGACAATCTCAACAGACAACAGCTCTCAGCTCATGTTGAAATCAAACTTCATAATACTGCGACTGGAAGCGATTGCAAACCAGAGGTTACTCAAGCTGAAGAAGTTACTCAAGTTGAAGAAGTTACTGACGTTGAAACGACTAGTAGTGTGAAACACCTTGCCGCGAACCATCTCTAGTCGATTTTTCGACGCTCCGCTTTCTATGTTCGTTGTTCAATTGGGACGGCCGGTGACACCGCGCGCATTCCGCGGTGACTATGTGTGTTTTCTACGTGAGGCGCCTTTGTCAGTGACTATGTGTGTTTTTCTTCGAATAAATTCCTTTTTTTGTGTTTTTCTTTGATTATTGTTTATTAATGGAGTGTTTAAAGAGTCGCACTACTCATCACTAAAATTGCTTAGTTCTTCTCGGATGATAGAGACATGATTAACGACTAAACGAATGTTCGCGGGATGTTTGTTAAAACAATAAAAGTAACGCGCGGCCAACGCTCTTCGTCACTGACAAATGCGCGCGGAATGCGCGCGGTTTCTTCACCGGCCGTCCCAATTGAACAACGAACATAAAAAGCGGAGCGTCGAAAAACCGACTGGAGATGGTTCGCCGCTGTTTGTGAACTTGAAAACACGTACCAATAGAGGCGAATCGGTGCGCGCGCACCGTGCGTACGCGGCGTAACGCGCTGTTGTATGCGTACCATAACATTAAAGTGTTTTGTTGTGATTGACGAAGGGTTAAAGAAACGCCATATTAAAACATTTCAATTCTCTGCTTTCCCACGATGAGCAAAATTCATATCTAGCTGGACTAATTACGGTGGTACCTGTCAAACAAAGAAGGCCGCATCAAAATGAATCCACGGCTGCTCTCCATGATGCTAGTTATTCGTACCGTGTGCGCATCCTAGATCGTGATATTCCTGTATGCGCCATCGCATTTTGTTCGATTCATGGATATCTCGGAATAAGCTGATTTACATAAAAGAAAGTCTAAAACGCACTGGTGCAACTCCCAAAGATAAACGGGGAAAGCATAGTGCAATTCATAGAAAACTGGATGACTTAACAAAGCGTTTGGTATGTGAACACATCAAAAGTTTTAAGGGTCGTCAGAGCCATTATAGTTTAAAAGATACAAAAAAGACCTACTTACCCAAAAAACTTTAAAAAAATGTTTAACCTCTTTTAGCAAAAGCATCCAAATGTTAAAGTCTCATATGAAACATACAGAACCATTTTTAACAACGAGTTTAATATAGCATTTGGATATCCCCGAACTGATACCTGCGCAACATGTGACGAATTTCAGAGTAAGATTAAATGTCTGCTGAAAAAGATTCAGATGAGATTAGAAAATTAACAATAATGAATGATCTGCATAAGCGAAAAGCTGAGATGTTATATTGTCGAAAGAGGGAAACAAAAAGAGCTGCAAAAAAACTAAAAAAAGGAAGCCATCTGCATTGATTTTGCCAAAAATATTTCCATCCCGAAAATTGCCACAAATGACGTATATTATAAACGGCAGTTATCCACGTATGCTTTTAACGTTCATATTCTCTCTTCTGGTCAATCGATATTTTATACCTATCACGAGGGAATCGCTAAAAAAGGATCAAATGAAGTGGCTTCTTTTCTCTTCCATTTCATCATTACTTACTTGGAAGACGACATTGAAGAACTGGAAATCTTTTGCGACTCTGCAAGAGGACAAAACAAAAATTTTTTCATTTTTCGATTTATCCATTTTATTGTTAACAACAAAATTCATGGCTTAAGAGAAATTAAAATTACACAAGACACTCCTATTTGGAATGTTTCAAGAATGTAGGACTTTGGAATTTGAGAAGTCCCTTTGGGATCCCGGAAGAATTTGAAGAAGTTATAAGAAATTCCCGCTGCAAACCATCGCCTTTCATCATAGTGAGTGTGTCACAAAACATTATCTTGCATTGGAAATCTTTTTTGGATTCAATATACATACAAAAATGTCCATTTAAAAGGAAATAGTGGCAAAATCTGGACATGGACGTCTTATTTATTTATCCCCCATCTTATATAGTATCCGCCAATCCTAGTTTTTCCAATATTGACACTGTTGCTAAATATGTAAAAAATTTTGAGGAAGTTCAAATTGGAAAGTTAAAAAATATCTTCGAAGTCGTGTCCTATGTTTTAAATATGTCTGCAAGCTCAGCGTTTCCGGAAGGATTTTTCTCGGTAATGAATTCCAAGTGGCGAGAAGAACAAAATAGGGCGTCAAAAGACTTAATCAAAAGCGTGTTATTTCCTTTAATGGAACTGAAACTTGCGTCGAATTTTATAAAAAAAATTAAACTAAATGAATCTCTTTTAGCTTCGGCTAAATCAGACAAAAAATATAACTTTTATATTCTTAGTATAGGTATGTGTATCGAGATTTACAGAGGTTTATATTATTTATAGACATTTATAGTGAAAACTAAGTTTATTATAAAAAAATAGGTATGTACCTGAGATGATTATTATAGTTTATCCTTGTTATTCGTTATGTAGATACCTAGTTTTTATTTTTCTTTAAAAAAAATTTTTTTTTTTCAATAAATCGTTCATGCAGTATTGCAATTCAAATATTTGTATACCCCCCCTCACCCCGCTTCAACAGGGAAATGTCCGCCCATTGCTTTTGAAAAACTTGGCAACCCTATCTGTCACAGAAGATGAAAGGAAATCGATGTTCGAAAATCTCTATGCCATGGCTGATTTCTCGAGGCAAAATGCATATCTGTGTGGTTTCATTCACCAAATGGGTGTTAAGCAAAGGTGATGGTAGCAGGGGCAATAGAGGAGCTTCAAACAAATAGTATATACAAAAGGCGAAGGTCATCGAAGGCATTTCAAGTTTCCGATGGAAGAGTTACAAGAACAATTAAGAAACTTAGTGAAAAAAACATAAAGCAGCTCAGAACATTTCTGAAGAGCAAAAACGACTTTGCATGGAACATATCAGCCAATTCCCAGCATATCAGTGCCACTATTCACGGCATGACAACCCGGATAGGAAATATCTTAGTCCCGATTTGAATTTGAGGAAGATGTTTAGACTTTATGAGGAATGGTGCACATCAAACCACTATGAACCGGCCAAAGAATACTTTGACAGAAATGTTTTTAACTTAAAATTTAATTTACATTTTCATGCACCAAGGCAGGATACATGTAAAAGTTGTGATAAATAAAAACAGTTAATAGACGTGGAGGAGAATGAAACAAGGAAAAGTGAACTTGATATCCAACATACTTTACACTTGAGATACGCAGAAAATGCTAGACAGAGCTTGTTGAAAGATGGAGAAGACGCTAAAGAAAATCCAGAAATATACACCATCACCGTCGACCTACAAAAAGCGTTACCATTTCCAAAATTAACTGCCTCTGAGGCATACTATAAGCGCAACATGTACTGCTATAATTTTGGGGTACACGACGTTGCCAACAATATTGGGTAAATGTACGTTTGGGACGAGACCATAGCTTCACGAGGATCCCAGGAAGTAGCCGCTTGCATAAAAAAACACCACAAGGAAAGCCTCTGGGGAATTGTGGTGTACAAATCAGGGAATTGTTAGGAATTACTGAGAAATCTGTAGGAATTATCGGAAATATTAGGAATTACTAAGGAATTGTGGGTATTATAGAGGAATTGTGGGAATTATGAAGGAATTATTTAGGAATTGCCGGAATTATTGACCATTTCAGCCTTGTAGAACGCTGACACGCATGCGCAATCGTTAAATTTCGCTGTGCGCGTGTCCTGTCGTTGGGGGGGAGGCTCTGCAATGCGCCAATAGAACGCAATCATTGAACCTCGCGGCACAATGTTCTCCAATTCTCCGAATTGTTAACATCAAATAGAACTACACGATACATGTATGTACCAAAGAAAGAGTATGAAAAGAAAGGGCATAAGAAGACTGAACAATCTAAAATATATTCAAGCTCATCAGATTTACCCCAGTGCAGTTATGACATTCACCATGTTGAAATTGCAAAAAATTTTAGAAAGCTGCGACCATTGAAAATAGTTAGCCTTAGTAACCCTTATTAATATACTAAAAGTCCCCATTTGTCCGATGTGTGCGTCATCAAAAAAAATCGGCCGCCATCTTGAATTTTGGTACTTTTTGGGAAAAAATGTAAATAACTCGAAAACGGTTTGTTATAGCGAAAAACTTCAAGAGGTAAAAATTAAAGAGAATAAAACTCTATTAGAATCAATAAAAAATAGTTTATTATCCTAACGCAATGACGTACAAAAAAAAAATTGAAAATCGAGCAATTTTTAAAAGGAATCACCGAAATGCAAATTACTATTTTTTTAAGCTTATTAACAAATAACATGGATATTTAGCATCAATTCAACTGAAATACAATCCTTGTGACATTTTCAAATTAATAGAAATTGTAAAAGCTATCCTTTACTAAATACATGTGTACTAATAATGTGCGAAAGCAGTGTCCACCTTGTCCCGATCGGGGCTATTTGCACTTAAACCAAGGTCTTATTGTTACCATTTTGTAAAAATACAGTGACCGTTTGAAAAATTAGGCTACAGGTTGGAAGAAAAAAATAAAATGTAATGTAAACTGGCGATTTTCAAAACGTTGCAAAAAGATCCTCATCTGCGACAAATTACATCCGTTTTTTTTAGATCCTGTAGCACAAAAATCTGAGCTAGTCGAAGCTGGAAACACATTCTTATTTTCATTATATGGTCGACATAGGCTAGCAAAAGATTTAGATCAGTTGAGGTATTTTAAATATAAAGCCCTTACATCTCGTCAGGTACTTACCCCGAATTGTAAAAATTTTGATTTAGCTAACTTACCAAACTAACTTATCAAACCAACAACTAACGCAGCTGAAAATCATTATTATAGGACCTATTTATAAATGCAGTATTGGCTAAATAACGGAGAAGAGGCAACAGAATGTGGATGGAGTAAAAAAAAGGATACCTTAGTTCCAAAAACAATGTCAAACGCAGTGGCACCAGAATTTGTTGAAAATGATTTACTGTAATTGCAAATCTGGATGTAATAAACTATGTACCATTGCGATAAAAAAAAGTAGTACAAGAATTAGTAGTCCCAGATGGAACTCCTGGTCTATAAGGATATTTGAATTATACTGATTTTTTTTTGGATTTAGCCAACAACACTGTTTTTTTTTTGTTTATCCCTAATGCATCTGCAATGTCCCTTATGGGAACCCCATCCCTTAAGCGGGGTTTACATTGGTCAAGTTACTTGATTCAAGTTTACTTGAATCAAGTAACTTGAACGTCACTTGAACCGTGTAAACACTTCTGCAAGTGATTTTTTCCTCATTCAAGTAGTGCTTGACCCCTAGATTCAAGTGTCAAGTAAAAGTTGAACATGTTTGATTTTTGGAGTCAAGTTGGCTGCACTTGAAACAAGTAGGAAGGTCTCTTGACCAGTGTAAACACACATTCAAGCTCACTTGCTTCAAGGATTAACCTAAAAATCTAGTGTCACATTGAGTGGTGTTGTTTTGTTGTTGTTTATGTTAAAAGCATCTTTATTTAAAAATGAGTTCAAAAAGTGTTAAGTGGACAAGCGATCAAATTATTGAATTCCTGGAGGTGTATGAAAACTATCCTGTACTGTGGAACTCGGGTTTGAGTGAATATAAAAATAAGAATTTAAGAGATGCCGGATTTAAAGGTTTGGTAGACAAATTGAAAACCAATTTTCCCGACATCACCTTGGATGTGGTAAGAGCCAAAATAAAAGTAATCAAAACCATTGTCAGTCAAGAATGCATAAAAATTGCGAAATCCAAAAAATCAGGTTCAGCTGCTGATGAACTGTACGAACCTAAACTTAGTTGGTTCCATGCAGCAAAGTTTTTAATGGGTTGTTCGTCCAGCAGACCTTCTACTTCAACTCTGGTAAGTAAAAACTACATTTCTTTATGTCTACACATAATTTATTAATAAAATGCTTTCATATACTATAAGTTACATATTTACATACAAATATATTGCAGTAATAGTATTTTAACTGAGTACCTTCAGCATACAATATACAGGAAAGGCTAACATATATTACAATTGTAAAAACATTGCATTTACGCAGGTTAAACTGTATTATTACCCATATTTAGTTACAAAGTTAAAGGCTGTTCGATGGTTGATCAGCACCAATCCACTTCCATTGCCACGGTAGTGACCCTTCTTTTGAAGAGAAGAATTTTTCATACTGCTCTCTAAACGATTTGAGCTCACGTTTGTAAGCATTTGTCGAAGTCAGTTTCGATGTCCTCAGCAGACATGATGTATTGAGAGTGGTGCGCCATGTGCCTGGTATGATTGTGCATGTTGCCATGTCTTCCACATCTACAGATGAAGGATGAAGGTAATATTTCCCTGATGATTTGCGTAGCCAGTTGTGAAGTGCACAACAAGTTTTGACAACCAAATCTACAGTTTCAGGAATCAATGCAATAGGCCGTTCGAATACTCTAAATCTAGCAACTAAAATGCCGAAAGCATTTTCCGAAACTCTACGAGCTCTAGAAAGTCGATAATTGAATATTCTTTCTGAAATTGTTAAGTTGCGTTTGCTGAAAGGTTTCAGTATGTCCTTTCTTAGAGGAAACGCATCATCTGCAACAATAACGGCATTCTGTGGTAAATTTAGGGTGTTACGTTCCATTGCAATGTTCAATGTTGATGCTTGAAAAACTGCACCATCATTTGACTTTCCATTAGCACCGACATCTATGTATAAGAAATTGTATTCGGCATCAACTAATGCGAACAGTATGATGCTGAATGTACCCTTGTAATTGTAGTAATTCGAACCGCTCTCAGCAGGGCACTTTATTTGGACATGTTTCCCATCAATGGCTCCTATGCAATTGGGAAAGTTCCACTGCACTTCAAATTTGCGTTGCACCAATTCCCACTCTTCCTTTGTACTTGGCACCTGAAAAAAAAATGTATTGCCACAATTTTTTCATAATATTTCTATTATTTTGTACAGTTATTCTGTTTCATTTCAGGATAAGGAAATCCAAATTCTGCCTACACTGACTGACGCATCTGAGACTGACGATATAGAGGATGTGGATTCTCCAAGTTCTCCAATTGTTCAACCACAACCAAAAAAAACTAAATCTCAAACACCTGGAATGCAGCCTCCACGCTCCAAAAAGCAAAAAATATCCGAAATACATGCTGTTGAACACATAGTTGATAAACTACATGCAATATCACAAAACGTTAAACCAGCTGGCAAAAATGGTTCTGTGAGACACACTAGTGATGAACTGTCTCATTTTGGAGAGTACGTTTCAGCACAATTGGGGCAATTAAACCCAATTGATTCTCTTAATGCTCAAAAAGCTATCCAAGACATTCTTATAGCTGCAAGAATCAAATCATTGAATCGAAACATGCAAATTCACAGATATTCTTCACTATCACCAACCATAGCTACCTCTGTATCTGGATCTGACAGAACTGATGTGGAAGATATTCATTACCAAGACAATTCAAACGACTTACTTTCTCCTGCTTTGCAAACCAGTTTCTTACTAGAAACCGACAAAGAACAAAATGATTCCGACAATTTTCTGGTCTTTCAAGAAATTGTTGTTGACAAGAACAATTGTAATTATGAAATTATTTAAAAATTAATTGACATCCTACTTGTAACAGTAAACATAATTATAAAATATAATGTGTTTTTTGTTTACCTTAATATATTCTTCGAGTACTTCGTAAACCGCTGCCAAAACTTCAGGTAGGAATTTGCTGATTGAACTTTTTGGCACTCTGTATAGATACTGCAAAGAAGCGAAACTGTCACCAGTAGCTAAATACCTTAAGGTTATTTCAAGTTTAGTTTTTGCCGGTATTGCTAGCCTGAACATTGTATCCTTTTTTTTAATCTTCTTTTCAACCAAAGTCAAAAGTTCATCAAACCTTTGTGGTGTCATTCTTAGGTGGTTTCTGTATGAATCCACGTCCTCTACAGCTAATTCTCTGAGTAAGCTGTTTGAGGCTCCAAGAATTAATCTACGACTAATCCAACTCCGTACCCATACTCTTCCTCTTCTTCTTTCATTTTTTCTTAATGCATTTACTGTAACATCGCTTACTAATGGTACTACCAGTGCAACGACTTGACGGAGAGCATCAGCTATATCATCAGGAGTGACGGCCATTTTCACTGCAGACAACCAAAACAATCCCTCCACTTGAATTCAAGTTTGCAAAAATCGTTCATATAGTGTAAACACCAAAATTGATTCAAGTTGACTTGACTCAAGTTAACTTGATTCAAGTAACTTGACTAATGTAAACCCCGCTTTAATCGCATAAATATAATCGATTTTTGCTCTGAAGTTAAAGGCATTTTTTAAAAATTATGTGACACTGACACAAGAATATAGACCAGCAGATTAAATCATATTTTGTTGTACTATTTTTTTTTTAATCGCAATGGTACATATTTAAAATCCAATAGGCCATGTTCATGCTTATGTGGTAACTGTAATGGTATTTCTTGCGAGAACAAACAAATATCGGTCGATGAAGAACAAATCGAATAAAATTGTAAATTTCATTTTTTTTTCTAGAGATGACAGTTTGAACAGTTAGGTTACAAGTTGGTAACACATTTTTATTAAAGTGGTCATAATTTGAATTATTGTTATTCGATTTGTAGGGGTATGTTTATAATGTATTTATCATAATGAAAAAGTGTTAAGATTTTAGGTTAAGATCGTAGATGATATTTATGTCAAAAAGACATTCGCAAGTAGTTTATTACATTTTATTTTTTTCTTCCAACCTGTAGCCTAATTTTTCAAACTGTCACTGTATTTTTAAAAACAAGTTGTTTACAAAATGGTAACAAAAAGACCTTGGTTTAAGCGCAAATAGCCTCGACCAGAACAAGGTGGAGGCTGCTTTCGCACATTATTAGTACACATGTATTTAGTAAAGGATAGCTTTGACAATTTTTGTTAATTTTGAAATATTATTAAACAACCAATAAATATTACTTGAAAATGTCACAACGACTGTATTTTAGTTGAATTGATGCTAAATATCCATGTTATTTGTTAATAAACTTAAAAAAATAGTAATTTGGTGATTTCGGTGATTCCTTTTAAAAATTGCTCGATTTTTAAAAAAAATTTGTACCTCACTGCGTTAGGATAATAAACTATTCTTTATTGAATCTGATAGAGTTTTTTTATTCTCTTTAATTTTTACCTCTTGAACTTTTTCGCTATAACCAAGGGGTGAACACTTAGGGATTTATGGTGTACACATGAGAGGATTTCCAGGGGATGTACCGAGGATGTAGTGGATGTACCAAGGATGTACTAGAGGATGTAGGGGATGTACCGAGGATGTAGGGGATGTACCGAGGATGTACTAGAGGATGTAGGGGATGTACCGAGAATGTAGGGGATGTACTGAGGATGTACTAGAGGATGTAGGGGATGTACCGAGGATTTACCGGGGATGTATTTCGAATTATTTGGGGCGTAGTTCGCCGAATGCGATGTTTCAAGTCATCCAAATTTGTGGGTTGACTTTTGAATACTTTTTCCATAAGGTATCCTCCTCGGTATCCTCTTAAAAAAGTTGTTTTTTCTGATATTTTTTTTTCACTTTCTAATTTTTAAATAAGAATAACTCCAAAAAGCTTGGATTTGGGTACAGCACTTACATGGAAAATATTTAGAATTTTAAGAACGAGGTTTTTAAAGCATAATATTATTTTACCCATAGGTAATTTTGTTGCATCCCCGGATCATCTTAAACGTTTAATTGAAGATTTTTCAAAAGACAAACATTTACTGTCAATGTCAGACCTAAAAGCTGAGGATAAGATGAACTTCTCCGCTGCCGAAAAAATATGTTCTCTACAAGTAATCAAATTGCTTGAAAATGTTGCTGGTAGTGAAGGTACCCGAGCCTACTTCAATATAATGCATCTAGCCATATCGTCTTATCTAGATACGGGCTCTGACATAAAGAGAAGAATATATAATATCTGGTATGTTGTTTTTTTTCTCAGTATTTGGCCAAACTGGCTTGAAAATCATCCAAACTATAAAATTGGAGCTAATTTCATAACAGCCAATTGTTATAATTGGTTAGAGCTTAATGCTCATGCATTAATTAACCTAGTTTGCAATTTCCGTGAAAATCCCATTCTTACGCAAGACATGTTTCTTCCTTCTTTATTTCCTAGTCAAACGTGCGAGAAGATGTTTCGGGCTACAATATCAATCACTTCAACGTTTTCGACAGTAGTCAACTACAGCATTAAAGACATCATGCTACATATAGACAGGATCAAGGCAGTAAACAATATCTTAAATGATCTTAAAGATGTGATTTTTCCTCGAGAAAGGGCAAAAATATCTACTGAATCACACTCACAATTTCAAGATCTTTCTGACTCTTGTTTAGAAAATGTAGTTTAAATGCTCTAAATGATGCAATACAAACTACGTGCGACTTGGGAATTGAAGTTGTTGATAACAGTTGGAATATCATATCTATACCTGTATTAAAAAACCCTACCGATGAAAATGAAAGTGACAATCAAACAGAAGAAGTTGTCGGGGACCCGGTAAGTGATATGGCAACTTTCGTAGACGAAGAAACTGTACCAAACATTCTTAGTGCCCTACCAGTTGAGTCAGGAAACTCAGATAACCTGGATAATCAAGAAAGTAGCTTATTTATAGATTTATGCAACATTTCATCGGCAGGAATAGGAGAAGAACTTGTGATGAAAGATTTTTCAGCGAAGTTCGTCGAGGGAAATAATGCGGGTATAAATGAGCAGGCACCCATGGTTCGGGTAACCATAGGAAATAAAATTGCAGTTATAAAAAAATTTAGGCCTCATTGTGTTGGCTCCTCGACGAAAAAAAAAATCAGTGTGGATCGCCTAAGACGATTTATTTTAAATAATCCTAAAGCGGACAACACTCGTGTCAAAAAACAAAAAAAAATTATCAGAGTGCAGTCGAAAAATAATAAAAAAAAGAGAAATTGCCAGGCAAAACAAAAAAAAGGGAGGTAGAAGAATTTCTTCATCTGAAACATCTTCGGAGGATGATGTAACAGCAGTCATGGATCGGACCAAGACTCATAAAATCAAGATCAAGATCGAGATCAAGACTCCAGACTTGAGCCAGAAGTTGAATTGAACAAATTTTATGCGGTTTACTACGATTCAGGGTGGTTCATCGGCGAGATCGAAGCAAAAATGGGAAAAACTTTCAGAATGAAATTTCTCAAAGAAAAAAAAATGGGGGTTTCTTTTATTGGCCCAAAAAAGCAGACACAGCGGAGGTCGAAAAAGAGTTCATTTTTTTCGGCCCTGTTTGTTTGTCGCCTGATTTAGACGGGAATTTGCAGTTAAAAAATGATGATTATCAAAATATATCTTTTGCCTATTCTCAAAAGAAGTAGCCCTCCTAGGATAATTTTTTTTTGAAAAAGAACAATGTTAACTTTTGTTTTTTTAATCGAGGTTTATTTATTCCTTTCAAGGATTTTAAATGTTTTTCTTTTTATTCATTGTACGAGATAAGACTGAGTTTGTTACGTTATTGTTCCTATTAGGTAATATGATTTACTTTTGTTAATTTACATAATGAGTGTATACAGTGAACAGCATTACAATTCGGACACATGTTTTTAATAACAATCGGTATTAAGTACAAATCCTAATCAATAAACAATTCAGTCAAATGCAGTGCCGCGCGAGGTGCCGCGTATCTCTACTACATAATCATAATACCACAGCAATCCCAGAACTTTAAAATATGAATTAGAACTGAACAGAATAATATGATTAACAGAATAACAAAACAGAATTATATAAACTATAAACAAAATAGAAAGTTAATGCTCTTACCACTGATTTCATTTATGTCAGAATTTCGACACAATTCATGTTTCAAAAATTTATTGTTTGACATTATTTCACGACGGGTATTCAAAAACACGTGTCCAAATTGTAATGCATCTCACTGTACCTAGTTTTGCGTAATATCATAATAGTGTAAAATATTATTATATATACAAAGAAATATGTAACTCCAAATCTTTAACTTGCATATTTTGTAAATTTTATTTATATCTAGGTTTACTTGTTTTTCAGTTTTTGTAGGTGTAGGTACATTGTGTAAGAAAATATTTTAAAATATTTAAAAACACATCAATGTGTCGATTTTTTTATATCTAATAAAGCAATCATATTTGAAACTAAGTCTACCTTATTTATGAGCTTTGAGCAAGATGATGTTACTCCACAACATTGTCACCAGTAAATCCTTGAGTAAATCCCATATGGAACACGCGTTCATAGAACATCTACACTGGTCCTATACAGATTATTAATATCAATGCGTGTTAAATCATTGATAATAGGTACCTTTGCTATAAAAAAGCTAGGATAAAAACTAGTAGTTTAAAATTAATCTCCTGGTCTATAAGGATATCGAGAAATGGATATCGTCATCACTATGAAAAAAATACAATAATTGTGCCACCTAACTTTTTAGCACTGATTTTATTATATTACTTTAAAAAAAATATAATAGATCAGCAGATTAAATTACAAAATATGGATAGTTTCCATTAGCATGAGCAGTTTAAGATATTTTTGGAAAAAAGTCCTCTAAAATTTGTGAAATTTGAATACAAATAATATG